ATAATGCTGTGTTAGTCCCTACTTTAACGTATTGGTAGTGAAAGCTGGGTGTGGCAGAAGAAGCACGAAAGTAGAATAAATGCTGTAGAAATGCGGTCTTTAAGGAATATGCTAGGGTTGAATCTGAATGACAGGGTGAGAAATTGCGTGATAAGAGATAAATGTGGTATGCAAGATGATGTTGTGACCAGGATTAAGAAAGGAATGCTTCGGTGGTTTGGTCACGTAGAAAGAATGAATGAGGAAAGAGTGACAAAGCAAATTTATATGGCAGATGTGAACGGCCGAGTCGGGAAGGTACGCCCTAGAAAAAAGGTTATCGACCAAATTGGCGATATTTTGAAAATGGGCCACGTTAGAAGTACCCTTAACCGACAAGCATGTATGCGTAGATGTATGGATCTAAAGGAGGCGAAAGAGGTATGTCAGGATCGTGCCAAATGGAAGTCCGTAGTCTCTGCCTACCCCTCTGGGTGACAGGCGTGAGTGTTTTATGTTATGTTATGTTATGACTGTAAACCGAATGAGATTTGGACATAGCAGAGTAGCTGCCCACCTGCATCGCCTGGGAATAAAAGAAAATTCAAATTGTGAATATTGTGGTGACATGAACGGAGACCTAAAACATCTGGTTTTTCAATGTTGTTAATTTGGTTTGAATAGATTACTCCTCATCAATTCCATTCAAGATATTAACGATGATAAAGTTCCTAATACTCTTCAAAGTCTATTAGCTGATGAAAAATTCTTCCGACCTTTTATTCCTTTATTTCTGGCGTTCAAGATATATACAAATGAAAACGTGATATTATTTAATAGTGTAAACGTGAATATACGCTAGTAATTTATAAGTCAATTGAATAAGCACTTTGTGATTTGTGAATCGGTGTAAATGTGTAATAGTGAATTTTTGATGAATGTTTCGTATATGACATCTAATTTTTAAAGATTTTATAAAATTATATATTGTAACTTCAGGCTCAGAAGGGCTAGAACCCAGAGCCGTAAAGCCAGTTAATAAAAAAATCTATGGTAAGGTAACGCGTTTGCACCACAGCTTTCTGTATTATATGCGTAGATCCTCTTAGTAGTCTGTGTGTATTTATATACTACTGTATTGTAGACAGAAAATTCTGTCTACGTACTGTATACTACTCTACTCTAAAGTTGTTCAAAACGACTATAAATCACGCACGCTACAGACTATAAGCACGCTACAGACTATAAACTAGAAATTTCTAGCGCGCTATTAAATACGCTACCTATGTTATAGCGCGCTATTTATAAAAAAAGTGTGCAGAAGGCCGGCAAGCGCGTCAAGTTTTGCAGCACGCTTTATCTCGGAGCACGCTACATGTTGTTCTTTGGATAGACCGCGTGCTATATTATAAGAACATTGTTTCGTACAATACGGCCGACGTATCTTGGCGAGTCCGACCTTCGCGCAGAAGGTTGCGCAATAGCTTTTTTAAGGAACAAAATGGTGGCATGAGGCGACGTACGGGGGGCGGTGGTCTAGGCTAGAGATTGACCATAAGTAAACACAATCGACCCTTTAGTCATAAAATATCGCAATCGATTAGTTTTATTTAGAAGTTATTGATTTTTGTTTATATAAGATATTAAACGAAATAGATTTACAAATATAGTGAATTTTGTTGATAATAAACAAGATTTCGACTTAAATAAAAAAAAACTAAAAACATATTATTTTCTCAGCTGAAAGACATAATGTACTTAAATATCAATTATCTATTAACGTCTTCTTGAGTAACGACTATTTGAGAAAATTTAGAACCTCCTTATAAATTGCAAATAAATATATTTTTATGTCTTAATTTTAATCGATTTGAATAAAAATCGATTAAACAACACCCTCAGGCACGCGTGTTGGACATCCCTTTCTGGTTACTTCGTAAAGCTTCGTGCTTATTCGGCAATGCTCGGTACACGGTAATATTTCTCAGTCACACGTTAGCATTGGTGTCGTGTTCGTGTCGCTATCTCTGTCTTGAGCACAGTCGGTTACAAAAGTTTTCGTTGTTATTGTTGTTTGTTTTTATTAATAGTGTTAAGTTTGTTTTGTTTGTTTTATTTGTTTTATTTGCAAGTGTCAGTTAGCACTTATATTATTCGCCAAACATGCCACCAAAACATAACAGTGTGTTAAATCGCCAGGCGAGAAAAATTATTTACGATTTAACGCAATATATGAAAAAAGAAAAAGAAGAAGGCGTAAAAGATGTCGATAAAGTTTATTTAAGAGTTGCTAACGCAACTGGTGTGTCCCAACGCACAGTACAGCGGATCGCAACTGAAGGCAATATTTCGGGCTTACTTTCAGTATTCCGCACGCCTGGTAAAAAAAGGTCTAGATCAAAACCTATTACTGATATGGATAATTTTGACCAGGGAGTAGTAAAAAGATGCATACACAACTTCCACAAAACTGAAAAAGAAATGCCGACGATAAACAAATTACTAGCGAAACTCAAACGGGATATAAATTTTCAAGGTGGTAAAACGAGCTTAAAGACAATTATCAAAAACTTGGGTTTCAAGTGGCGAAAGACCGAAACCAATAGAATGGTTCTTATAGAGAAGACCGACATTCGCCTGAAAAGGATCTTGTACTTGAAGGCAATGAAAAAATACAGGGACGAAGGGCGACCAATTGTATTCACTGACGAGTCGTATGCCCACTCATCACATACAAAAGGTAAGGCGTGGTCAGATGGTTCCGCTCAAGGACTAAAGCGCCCGATATCAAAAGGTCAGCGGATAGTGATGGTACACGCTGGGTCAGAAGCAGGGTTTGTTCCGAACGCGCTACTAATGTTCAAATCTGGCAGCAAAACCGGAGACTATCATGATGACATGAATTTCAAAAATTATGAGAAATGGTTACGGACCCAACTGATTCCAAATTTGAGCCCTAACTCGGTGGTGGTTATCGATAATGCTCCGTACTACAACAAATTAATGGATCCTGCCCCTACATCTAATGACAAGAAGGCAAAAATGGAATCGTGGTTATTAGAAAAGGGTATACCATATGAAAAGGACATGCGTAAACCACAACTTTACGATCTAATAAAAAAAAACAAAGACGTGAATAAAAAATACGTAATAGATGAAATGTTTAAACAAAACAACCACGATGTCCTTCGTTTACCCCCATATCATCCCGATTTAAACCCCATCGAGATGGTGTGGGCTGCCATTAAAGGGCACGTAGCCGCTAAAAACGTCGACTGGAACGTAACCCGGACAATGGAGCTCATACAAGAAAAAGTAAATTTAATGGGTCAGAATGAATGGAGTGCTTTATGCAGAAAAGTGCAAGAGGTCGAACATGACTATAGGAAGAGCGACCATATTATTGACGAAATGACGGATCAATTATTCATCATTAATACAGCTTCAGATTCAGAAAGTGAGTCTGAAAGTGAGAGCGACGATTACGAAGATGAACCTATGCCAAGTACCTCACATGGTACACAAGGGGCCGACGACTTTATGTTAGGAATTTCCCCCCCTCAGCGACAGTGATTAAATAATAATAAGTGTAAATAAATAAAAAGTATTAAATGTAAATAATATTGTATGTGTTTGTGATAAAATCTGCCCCTATCGAAAGGTGAGGTATCAAAATTGAATCTTTAATTTATAATGTCTCCAAAGTGTTTTGATATTTTTGGTCACTGTATTAGGGAAATTTTATTTGTACATTGGTATATATAAAAAAATGACAATAACAGTTTTCTTCACGAGTGTTCATGCGCTAAACTTCGCAGAGCCTATATTCAGACTCGCCAAGATACGTCGGCCGTATTGTAATAAGTGGTATTTTAGAATAAAAAAAATAAAGTGGTAAAGAAAAATCAATGATCGCTCAGGCTTTTCAGGCTTATGACTTTCTATATTCCTAAAAATATTTTTAAGGCGTGTACTTTTTAAAACAAAATAAAATTAATCATTTTTTATTATAATTGATATAAACGTTATTTTAACCTTAATATAAATTATAAATCAATTAAAGGTGAATTTAAAAGTTTAAAAATTGTATTTATAAAAATCAACTGTTTACAGACACTATTATATACACTTTTGTATCTATATTTTATTTACATTTAAAAACATTAGTTAGGCTTCTTTTATAGCAGACAACTGTGTTCTTCGACCACTTATTATAAATATACAGTATACACTAACCAAATAACGTCTAACACTAAATTAGTTCGCGCGCGATGAATAGCGTGCTGCTAGATTAAATTTGCGTCACACGTCTACTCCCAACAGCGCTGCTGCTAAAACTAATTGCCGCTCGATATTGATATGAATAGCGCCAAAGCGTCATAGCGCCATGTCGACTACTTACATAGCACGCGCTATGCGTTATGAAGAGATAGCGCGCTATAATATGGCGCTATGCGCTGTATTAACCACCATTACTCTATATATACATTATACACAGTAATCTATGCTCTGGGCCAGTCAACTTCCTAATAAAAGATTGGTACCGGGAGATGACCTTGGGGGGCTTTAAGGAAGCGAGATGGATTAATATCTATCTCCCTCGCACTTTATGTTATCTTGCCATGAAAGAAATATTATTTTAAATGACACATCATTTTAATCATTTTTTTATTTAATAATTATAATACTTTATTATATAATATATTTCGTTAAACATATATTTATTACGTCTTTATTGAACTAACAAAATGTATGAATATGAAACTGCATACTATAATAAAAAGGCAAGTTATAGCAACGGCAAATAAACAAAAAATGGCGGATCCCTTGCGCTTGCTGTTGTGTTCTTGTTTATTTGTGTTGCAAATTAAGTTTATATTTTGATATTAACTTATTTCTTACATTACTAACGTTGAGTTGAACATCCCGTTCCTTCGTTTTAGTGCTTACAGTGAGAAATAGACTCAAAAACAAGTGCTGTGCTTGTGTAAAGAGACAGAGACTCAATTTTATCTTTCGTCATGAAAGAAAACGAATGGAAATGTTACAAGTGTGGATGTTCTCCTGCTCATGATCGTAACATCACCTTGCATCGTTTTCCTAAGCCTGGGAAAAAAAGCTTACGGTACGTATGCTAAATAGTTTTTTGGTTACTGATTAAAACAGTTTTAAAATGTTTAAAGGAGACAATCAATTTTTCTATGGAGAATGGGCCCACTACAAATTTTAAAGATTATCAATGAAATGCATGTCGATTTATTCCTTATAATCCATAGATTACAATAAAATTATTAGTTTTACTGCATTTAACGGAGTCCTGAGAAATTAACAAATAAAATATGAATCTAACAATAACCTAAAAACAAACTGAAAGCGATTTTCTAGTAGTATTCATCGGTATTATAAGTTAAAATAGTGCACACTTGAATAATAGTACATATAAAACTAAGCTGTAGGTATATTCAGCATTTATAAATATTTTAAAATCGATGTAAAACCTTTCACTAGTTCGGGCAAAACATAGTGCCTGTCTATGCTCTATGCACAAATGTCGTATGGATTCTAACTTTGACATGTATTGATTGGTTGTGAGTGTAATTCTAAATACCAAGATGGCTAAGGGATAATGTCTATTTTTATTTATGATATTACCAACACACAGTAAGATACGTTTTAAAATGATTTTATTACAAAAAACAAAATATAATGTAGGTAATTCTATTTATTATTGTAAATCATAATTTATTTAAGTATTCTATTAACAGTAGTAGGTGCAGAAACAGAAACCTTTTATTCAATTTAGATTATAAATAATACTTATTGAAAGTCACTTTTTTAATTTACCACTGGTTCAGAAAAAAACCTCTGACTTGAAGAGAACCAACAAAATACCCAGTGGGTCTTTTAAAAAAAAAACCAGCTTACAATCATGTATGTCATAATTAACAACACAGAACAAATTAGAAATAGCTTGGTAGCGATCACCTTACCCACGGGTTATTGTCAGCCATAAATTCCTTTATACTATAATAACCCCTTTTATACAAACTTAATTTAATACATTTTTTGAACTTTGATGATTGACTGACATATATAGACAGGAGCGGGGTCAAGACATTATTTTAAAATGTTTTGGTTGATTTGTAAGTAGTATACATCATAATAAAATGACTAGGAATTAACATGCCTTATATATGCTATTACACAATGATAAATAATGAGGAAGTAAGATGTTTTAAACTGTTTGTGTAAGGATTACAAAAACACAGGCTTAATTTAAATGTATTTATTACTAGCGATGTGCTTCAGCTGTGCACTGGTGATTTATTGATCTCGACAACAGTGCCATCTACCGAGTCCAAATGTAAATATAAACCATCTAGGGATCCATCCAAACACACACAAACATTTTTATTTAAATTGGTTGGAAGGTTTCTTATGTTTTGTCTATAACGGACTTAGGTAGAAACATTTAAGTGTTAGATATATTTCTGAAGGTTTTTTGAAAATAACTTGATGGTAACATGTACATTTATGATATTGTAAGCAATCAGAAGGAATTTTCAATTATAAGATATATGATATAAGACTGTTGTCTCCAATATCCATACACTTTTTGTCTCTGCAAGCTTTCAGCCTGCACGGCATACAGATTTGTTCTAAGCGATCCACCTGAAAAGAAGTTAATGACAATTGTAAAGGTGTCTTAACTAAATAATAATTCTTATCAATATATTATTTTTTTTCTATATTATATAGGAATTAAAAGGACATTTTAATAATAAGAGATATGAGATAAGACTATGCCTTCAATGTCAATAAACTGTATTTACATATTTCTGTGAGCATTTTCTTATATCTGCCTTTTCATATGTTAAATAATAAAGAAATTATTATAAATTATACAGCATTAATCAGCTCCAGCTGATCAAATACAGAAGCAGTAATTATTGATTAACATCAATAATATTCAACCATGTAAAAGTTGTCTCACATTTTATTTTTACCGGTTTCATGTACTTACATAGTAGACAAAGATATTATTGTTATATTAAATATATCTGATTCTAGATGACAAAATAATATTCCTTTCTGCACAGTGAACAACACAGCTGTCTAAGCATAATAGAAACAACCATTACACTTTTTTTATGCAAACTATTATTATTAAACTTTATATTTGCTTCTAGTACAAATAATAACTACATTTTTACACAAAAATATATGTAACATTTATATTGCCTATCTACTATGGCTGGTATAAATCCAGGATCTGTGTCTGGCTTAACAAAAAAGCCATTTAGTATTAAGCAACTTGCTGAATACATAAGGTACCTATTTGTACACAAATGCAGTTATATGAATTGCTCTTCAAAACCCTCTTTTAAGTCCCTCGACCCAAAGATTCTAATTTTCTTTTAACATTATAATAACTTCTTTTGTGCATTTATTCTATTTATTATTTAATTTAGATTTTACTAATAAAATAAACTTAATACTTTGTCACTTTTAACAAACTAATAAGGTTCTAAGACCTGTTTATTATTTGTATTTGTTTGAGGTAAAATATACAAACTTAATAATAGATTTTCACAACCTAGAATAGGTGTAAATTAATAAACTCTTATATTCTATTTGCGAATTTTACCACAAAAACTAAAAAGAGAAAAACAACACAATGGTACACATAGAAATAACATGTGGAATAATATTTATATATGTATACAATAAAATCACATTGTTTGAAAGGAACAATCTCTTGTATTGCGCTCTTCTTCCAAGCATGTTTTTAGCACCTCAGTAGTATAAGTATTATTATCTAATTGTATTTTTTCAGATGTGAATTATGGGCGAAGTACTGTTTTCCTCATGACTCTTGGTGGTCACCAGAATTTCAAAACAAGCTTCATTCTAAGCATTTAATGTTGTGCACTAAGCATTTTAAGAAATCATCATTCATTGATAATTTTGGAAAGAGGCTAGTCAAATCTGCAGTACCTGATGAGGAATTTGATAAGGTTAGTTAATCTTTCTTTTGTTACTATCTAAATTTTTTTTCTTTTGTGTGGCTTTTCTCATACTACAGTGAAAATATTTTCTAGTTAACAAACGGTGGTAACAGATTGAGTGGTGATTTATAAGGGTATGCGACGTAACCTACCATTACTTCTCAACCATAAAAAAAACAAAAGATATAAACTTTAAAAAAATATATAGGATGGTGGTGGTAATGGGTTAAAGCAACATTCATTAATAAAAACAAGTTGTATTTAAGGTTTATAAATTTATAAGGCTGTTTGAAATTTAGAGATTGGTTGATCAATGCTGGGATACATGATATAAATAATGATTTGATAATCTCTAATTTTCAGATCACATTATATAATATTAATAATAATAATAATAATATAGCTCCATTTATCTTGAGGGCTCCATAGCATATGACCTATCCATCTCCACTTTATTTGGTCTATCTTGGTGAGAATATCTGTCACACCTGTTCTTGTTCTTATGTGTGTGTTTCTTTGCTTATCTATTTTTCTGATTCTTAGCATGCTCCTTTCTATGGCTCTTTGACAATGTTCGAGCATATCTCTGTGCTGCTTAGAAAGTGCCCAAGTTTCGCAGCCATAAGTAAGTAGTGGTGGTAATGGGTTAAAGCAACATTCATTAATAAAAACAAGTTGTATTTAATGTTTATAAATTTATAAGGCTGTTTGAAATTTAGAGATAGGTTGATCAATGCTGGGATACATGATATAGATAATGATTTGATAATCTCTAATTTTCAGATCACATTAGCTGACCTTAATTTGGAACAAAGGAATGTCATTCAACGTATTGCGGGTCCATCAACTACTAAACAACCACTGTCTGAAAATATTCAGAAGACTATAACTGTTCCAAATGTATTTGAGCCGGTTGCGGGTCCGTCAAAATGTATACAACCCTTGTGTGAGAATGTGCATTATAAGACCATTCCTGACAAAACTAGTGCTATTCCTCAAGTAACTGAGAATATCAACCCTGTTGCTGCTGCAAATCCATCCACGAAAAACAAAAAGGATAAAGATATGTTGATAAAAATGAAATATCATCTGAGAAAAATTAACAGGCTTCAAAAAAATGTAAAGCATCTAAAGAATGAAGCATTTCTCAAAGTATTGAGCAAAAATGATTCAGTAAATCCTATACCTTTAAACGAGCAATTGTTAACACATTTAGAGAAAAAATTGATATATTTTTCGACCCACCTAACAAGCTCCGTCGCACCTTAAGAGACCATCTTTTGTAACATATTATAAAATATGTTCTTTCCTTTTCGCTTCATATATATTTTTATTTGTATTTAGTTATAATTTCTTTTAATTTTTAATTATTTCTTTATCCTAGTAATATAGGTACACAGTTCTGAGAAAGTTATTTGCATGTTGTATCCGCCTGTAATTATTTGTACATTTTAGTTCTTATTGCTTCATTGTATTTATATAGCATGTAAGGAATGATACAAATGTTGGTGGATCAATAAAAAAAAAAATTCTTGTATATAAATATATATATAATCGGAATCTCGGAAACGGCTCCAACGAATTTCATAAAATTTTGTGTGCAGGGAGTTTCGGGGGCAATAAATCGATCTAGCTAGGATTTATTTTTAGAAAATGTCTTTTTGTCCGTGTTTTTAGGCAATGATGCTACAATATCGTTAGAATAAGAAGGTAAATTTTGACAGTTTATTAATGATTACGAATAGCTTAATTGGTATATTGGGCGTACACAAAATCGTAATACCATGGTTCGAGCCCAGACCGACCAACCGACTTTTTTTAATTTTTTTTTCAAGTTCTTTTCTTTTCTGAGAAAATCTATTTTTTAGTATTTTTTAAAAACACGAAAATTTAAATTAAACTAATTGCACTCATGATTTTTTATTCAAATAACCAGTTCAGTTTTTTCCATTATGTCGCTAAGATCAAAAAATATTCGTATTTCATCAGTATGTAATTTGTATCTCAATATAATTTCCAAAACACACGAATTAAAAAAAACGAGCGAAAAATACCGAGCAAAGCTCGGTCAACCGGGTACTGAAGTATTAAAATGTAAAATATCCCCCTCTTTTGCATTATTTTTGCAAGGAGAATTGCAAAACTATAAAAAAAAATCAAAAGGTCGAAGATGAAACATGGACTCCAAAATAATAGCACTAAGACTGTATAAGAGGTCACCTAGGTGTTACAAATTATTAAGAAGGATGATTTGCCTGCCAACACCTAGTTCATTAAAAGCGTTATTAAGCAAGTTTCACATGAAAGTTGGTATTAATGACCAAATTTTTAATGTTTTGAAAAAAAAAACAATAAAGCAACAGACTCCCTCAGACAATGTGTATTATGTTTGATGAGATGTCAACAAAAAAAGAATTTGTTTTACAACAAAAAGGAGGACATAATTAAGGGTTATCAAGATCATGCATTGCAGGGCAGGTCACCACAAATGGCAACACATGCCCTCGTGTTCATGATTGGCGTAATCCGTAAAAAGCTGAAACAACCAATTGCTTATTATTTTTCTAGCGGATCTGTGACTGCAGATAGGCTGTCAGTTCTTATAAAGGAGGCGAGCATTATGGTCTTTTATTTGTTATTACGTTAATATATGTAGTAGTACTTTTTTATCGTATTAATTTACCCTTTTATCATTCTAGGTCCTGCAACATTGTTTTGATGCTGGAATTAATATTTCAGCTACAGTGTATATGGATGGTGTGAATAAGAGAGCTTTAAGTATCTTGGGAGCATCTGTAGAACAGCCATATATTCTGCTAAGTAATCGAGAAGTGGTTACCATTTTTGATACTCTGCATTTCTTCTTCTTCTTTCTTTTGTGGCGGTTTGATAAAATTCGCCAATGACGTATTGAGTGGAAAATGAAAGCTTATGAGTTTAATTAAAATAAGAGTCTGTGATAATACAAGGATTCAGTTTTCCTCCGAGAATTTTGACAAATCTATTTGTTGAATTACCTAGAACAAATATGACAAACACATGTGTTAGACTCTTACCCGTATGTTAAAAGTGACAAGGATTTAAAGTTTCATATTATTAGTATTAATAAAATCACATAAAATATACACAAAAGGAGTACTGCTATATGTTAAAAGAGAATTAAAATCTATAGGTCGAGGAATATAAGGAGGAAGGTAATCATAAAGGGAGGAGGATAATTTGGGACAGTTGAAAAAAATATGGTTTGTGGAACCTTCATCTAAGCCACATTCACACAATGAGCTATCCCTTACTCTGATTTTTGCCAGATGTGCATGTGTACAAGCGTGTCCAATTCTTAATCTACAAATGATTAAAGTTGCATGTTTATTTGCTTTGTTAAATTTAAAGAACCAAGGCTTGGGAGGAATAACCTCTTGGATGGCAGCATAGTGCTTACCTTTAACATTTTTGGACTCTTCCCATAATTTATTCCAATTTTCATTCAGTTTCCTTTTAGCTAGCAAAATTAGGTCATGTGAGTAAATTAGATTTTGTAGAATGCCATTAGCAATTGCATTTTTAGCGAGTACATCAGCTGTTTCGTTACCATGGATACCACTGTGGCCTGGAATCCAGGCCACTGAAACATGGATTCCTTTAAGATGGCATCTGAATAGGGTATTTTTTATTTTAAGAATTAGTGGAAATTTATGTTTGTTATGGAATTGATTGGACAAAATAGCTAACAAACAACTTTTTGAATATGTGAAAATAACTGTTTTATTAAGATTATGTGACTCTACATATAACAAAGCTTCACTGATTGCAGTTGCTTCACCGGTAAAAGTGGAGGATAGTGAGGGGCATTTAAAGTTAAGAATGATTTTGAACTTAGGATTCCAAACATCAGCTCCAGTATAGTCTTCATCAGACTGTTTTGAAGCGTCTGTGTACATGACAATCCAATCTTTAAAGGTGTTTTCTATAATTTCTTTTAATTTCAAATTTGCCATTGGAGAATCCTTTTCTATACCTAGATCTAGATGAATTTCGGGTTGGTAAACAATAGCCTCGTAAGGAACATCAAAGAGTGGATTTATTTTACATTGAAAGATTGGGTAAGGAAGCTGAAGAAAAATTACAAAACTTTTAAACAAGAAGGGAGAGTCCTTATGGGTCCAGTATCGGTCAGATGAGATATACTCTGAAAGAAGGTGCAATTTAGGAATTAGGGGATGATCTGAAAGCTGACAGATCTTAAATAAGAATCTGTCTGAAAGGTATTGCCTTCTTAATCTTAAAGGAGGATCTATGCACTCAACCTGAAGAACATTTATTGGTGAGGATTTCATTGCCCCTGTAATAATGCGAAGGCATTTCGATTGAATTTTGTCCATTACTTTCAGGGATGATTTATTGCAAGGCTCCAACAGAAAACATCCATAGTCAAGGTGGCTTCGTATTAAAGCATTGTACAGTAATTTCTGAGAAAAAAGATGGGACCCCACCAAACACCTGACAAAGACCGAAGAATATTTATGTTTTTTTCGCATTTTTGTGTTATATATTCAATGTATGGACCGAAGGCCAATTTCGAATCAAGGATAACTCCCAAAAATTTAACATTGCCTCTAACTGGAATAGGTTGCTTATCATATACAACAGATTTATCGAGAACTCGCCTTTGGCGGGAAAAGATCACCACACTACTCTTGGCCACAGATAAAGAGAGGCCATGATTAGTTAACCATTCTTGTAAATAATCCATGGATGAGTTTAGACGGGAACATGCCACTGTGAAGTTGTTTAAGGAGATGTATAGAGCTAAATCGTCTGCATATTGAAGAACATTACAAAAAGAATTTACTGAAAGTTCTAAATCGTGAGTATATATAGAATAAAGGAGAGGACTAAGAACTGAGCCTTGTGGAAGTCCTTTCCATATAGTTTTTGGGGGAAGCAGGAGATTTTTAACATTTATAGATATTGATCTAGAAGAGAGAAAGTTAGAGACGTAATTGACTATCCTCACTGGAATGCTCAGATTAAGCATTTTCTGCCTGAGCACAGGAAGAAGCACATTATCATATGCAGAAGAAATATCCAAGAAAACTCCTATGAGAAATTGATGTTTTGAAAAAGCAATATGAATATCTGTGACCAAAGTACTTAGGCTATCCATGGTACTTAAACCTTTTCGGAAACCGAATTGGCTTTTAGGTAAGAGATTATTCCTTTCCAAAAACCACTCCAAGCGATTTTTTATTAAATGTTCCAAGATTTTTGCCAAAGTACAAGAAAGGGCAATAGGTCGGTAACTGGAAGGGTCATTGCTAGACTTAGCTGGTTTGAGAATGGGCAAAATAATTTGGGTTTTCCATTCAGCAGGAGGATCACCAGTAATATAAATAAAATTTAAAATGGATAGTAAGACAGTTTTAGTGTTCTCACTACTATTAATTATAAACGAATAAGGAATCCCATCAATACCTGGTGAGGAGTCTTTAAGGCCATTGAGTACAGTAAACAATTCCTGAGAAGAAAATGGGGAATCAAATTTATCATTTGTTTTTAGAAAAGCAGAATTAAAAACTAGGCATTCATCATAAGATGGGACTGTTTGTGGTGCGAGTTTATTATAGAATTCATCTATCCACGGGGAAGGATCATTAGAAATTATATTTTCACTAGAAACTGCACAGCGATATTTTTTAACATTTCTCCAGACCAAAGATGGGGGAGTCCTAGGTGACAGTGACACAGAATTTAAACCAACCAGTTCGCTTTTTGTCTGACAGTAATTTTAAGGTTTCTGCAGCAATTTTTTTATAGGAGATATAATTCTTTGCAGTCATAGAACGGGAGTATATTAATTCAGCCTCTTTTCTTCTCCTACAAGCTGCTGAACAATCTTGGTCCCACCAAGGAGGGGAAGGATACTTATTTTTGAAAGGTTTTTTTAAGGGGATTGACCACTGACCTCTATATATACAAGTACGCTGGACTGGCTATACCATATAAAATGACTGTGCCAATTTGAAGCGCCGCTAAAGGATGTCTTGAAAAATAAAATTGACATAATATGCCAAAGTATGTTGTCTTATTCATATTGTCATATATAATAAGTCTATATTTTGAACTTTTAAACTAAAAAACGAAAGTATTTTATG